GTGCGGTGACGTTGTTCAAGTGGTTATTGATTGTCACCGATGATATTCGAATAGCATGTGTTGCTTCCACCTATATACAAAATGATATCACTGTGACGGAGATAATCAGATCTAGCAATTATTTTGAGCGACTGTCTAAAGACTTTGAATTGATTTGTTTTGAGCATGCGAAAGGTTATGGAAATTACATAAATAAATCCGGCCCAAATGACAAATTCTGATCGGCGTCTGTTGTGAAAGATATATTCATTGAGTCAAAATGATTCACCCGAAGCAGTTTCACGTTATCTTCGCTTGCTGTCCATCTTGGGGTTCGTGACAGACCTTTATGACAACCGTCGCGGCTGGGGTGAATACGGTCCATCATACATCGACATGCCAAGATTTCCCTTACGTTCGGTGCTGCCCGATCTTAACGACTCAGACCAAAAGTTGAACTTTGACGATCATTATAATTGCATGGATAATTTATTACTCAATACTAGACACGTGAATCACGGTCTCTCACAATAGGCCGAAATATTCATTGAGAAATAAAACGATAGAAAATGTAATCTGCATGCTCCGCTGGTGGAAGAGCAGTATACGTCACGACGTAAGAACTTCTGACCAGGAGAAGAAGCTCCTGGTATGGTTGTAGCGCTGTTCATGAGATCTGAGGATAACTCAGTGCTTCACTCAAAAATCATCTCATAAATACCACCGCACTGCCCGTAGTGTTCTGTTAGTAAGCGAAATGACAGTGGGTTCGCTGTTACCCAGCCATCTGTGGTAATAAAAATGCTTAAAATCGTCACCAGATATCCGATAGCAAATGTGAACAAGCTCGTAATATGATTGGAGTTAAGGTCGTTTTGCTGGATAAAACGAGTTATAAGCTGAAATAAGTCGAACACGTTGCACGCCAAAGTGGTAACAACTGGACTTATGTCATAATCGAGTGGCATCTAAGGAACGGGCAACGTATCAAATTACTGCCTTCAAGAATTAAGCGATTCCATAATGAATGAACTGGGTATCGCATGGAGGGGGAAAGCGGGCAACCTAGTTATAAATATCTAAGATATTTTGATCGACATTGTGTTGGACTGAACAGCAAGTCGACAGAGCTGGCAACGTGCACTTTTAATCCATGGG